TGGTGGATTCCTTTTATAGCTGGCATCTTCTAAAGGGGATGGAGCTCCCACATCTCTAAAGCATGCAAACTGATACTGTAATTTCACACGTGTAAATGCATTTTTGGCTTTTTGCCTTTTCAAAAACTGGAGACTTTTTTGAAAGCATTGAAATTCTTATTAAGACAACAAAGCTTCAGTAATAAGTAATATATTCTGTTAGACTTTGAGAGATAGGGGGAAAGCAAGAAAGCTTTCTGGCTCACAAATATTCCTGCAGTATTGTTGAGGTGTAAGCCCAGCCAGCAACCCAAAACCACACAGCTGCTCACTCACTCCCCCTGCCTTCCTCCCCCTGCTCCTCGAGGGATGGAGAGGAGAATCGAAAGAATGTAACTCCCATGGGTTGAGATAAGAACAGTCCAGTAACTAAGGTATAACACAAATCACTGCTGCTACCACAAATAATAATAATGATGAGGGAAATAACAGGGGAAGAGAATACAACCGCTCACCACCCACCGACTGATACTCAGCCCGACCTGAGCAGAGGTCTAGTCCCTCCGGGTAACTGCCCCCAGTTTATATACTGGGCATGACGTGCTGTGGTATGGAATACCTCTTTGGCTAGTTTGGGTCAGGTGTCCTGTCTCTGCTTCCTTCCGGCTTCCCCTCCTCCCTGGCAGAGCATGAGACTCACAAAGTCCTTGGTCAGAGTAAACATTACTGAGCAGCAACTGAAAACATCAGTGTTATCAGCGTTGTTCCAAGGCCAAAAGTCAGAAACACAGCACTGCACCAACTACTAAGAAGGAGAAAAAATGACTGCTACTGCTGAACCCAGGACAAGTAGTTTACCCTTTTTCCTGAGTTATTCCAGCTTGCTTAATAGAATGTTTTTCTTTGCAAACATTGCCTTATTTATGTTCTTAGATGATCACAATACTGGTTCTATTAGATGCAGGCATGACAAACTAAGTGTTTTTCAGTTCCTCTATTTTACTCAAATTCATTTAGTCCAACTACCTGTTGTGTGTGGGGTTTTTTGTGGGTGGTTTTATTTATTTTTTTTTGTCCTGGTTTGTGTTAAGATTTAAGCAGTTCTGTTTGGGAAGGAAAGAAAGGGGAAGAGCAGAAAGGGGAGGGGTTCTGAAGTCTTAGGGGTCTTCTGGATTATTTTGGGTTGCTTCTGTATGTAGAAAGTCCACAGGGACTCAATATCTCAGAGTAGATGAGATTTGTATGTATTGAGGACTGCATTTGTGTGTGTTTGCATGAGCACTATCTGTTCTTGCTATTGTATATTTTAATGGCATTTACTACATTGCAGGCTGAGTATGTCCAGCTTGTCACAGAGCTTAGAATGACAAGAGCCATTCAGCCTCAGATAAATGCCTTTTTACAAGGCTTCCATATGTTCATTCCACCGTCTTTGATCCAGCTTTTTGATGAATATGAACTGGTAAGCAGAAATGCCTATACTTTTTAAAAACAGCATGCTTCATCGGTAATGCAGTGATGTAGAAATAGAGCTCAGTACCCAGAAAATAAAAATTTTCTTTCACTTCCAGTTTGCTTCCTGGACATCTTGTCAGTGAGGATCTCAATATGTGTATTCCTTCTTATCGTAATTACTTAGAATGACCATCTTCTTGGAATGTGATATGTGCTAGTGATAAATGCCTTAAATTATAGGTTCATGATGGAATCAGGATGTTGTGGCCTTTAAGCCTTTTAATATTTTAAGAAAGACAGAAGTCCTTTAAAAGTAAGGAGATGTGTCTATTGTTTTTCCTTTTTTTCTGAATCACAGAATCAAGTTCCAGGCAGTTTTTTGTGGTGGTTTGATCTGTAACCAACAGATCTCAAGTTTTGCCTCAAGTCATACCAAAACTCAGCACTTTTATCTTTTAGGCTCTTGGCAATAACTTTTCATTCTTGATACTGTGTACTTAAGTGAAACAAATTGTGTGGAGTTGTCTGAATTGAAGGATCTTCCTGTATTAAAATTCAGTCGAAAAATTAGGTTCCATAAGATTGTAACTAAACGAAGAAAGCACTGTAATTTTTATATGACTTAACGCATTACTTCTTAAAATAGCATAAACACTTGAAATTAATGGTTAGTCAGGAAGACTAACGGCAGTCTGTGTGCTTCTTCTGAAGGAGCTTTTGCTGTCTGGTATGCCAGAAATTGATGTGAATGATTGGTTAAAAAATACAGAATACACCAGTGGCTATGAGAGAGGAGATCAAGTTATTCAGGTAAAATTATTTTCTTGAATAGTGTAGACATTTGCATTTTAACCCAAAAAATGGTGGTGCTGCTGTTGTCATTTTCTGTATATCTTTGTGGAAATTTATTATGGCTGAAATGTGTGTTGTTTCTTTTTTTTTTTATATTCCTACGTTAAGTGACTTTCATATGAAATTTTCCACCATTTAAGTAACAAATGCATAATGGTAAAATAATGAATGGAATATTTATCTTTTCAAGTACTACAAGTATTGAATGGAAAATAAAAACTAACTTATTTTTCATTTAGTGGTTCTGGGATGTTGTGGAAGAGCTTACTCAGGAAGAGAGAGTATTACTGTTACAGTTCGTTACTGGCAGGTGAGAAACTCAAGTAACAACAAATATATTGTCTGGATACACTGTAATAAGTCAAGAGACTTCAGATTACTATGCAAGATCACTTAACTATAAACTGTTTTGCATACTTCATGTTTTATGTCTTGATCCAAGTAGACAAAGTGTGTGTTAAACTTTAGCTGCCTGTACTGCCAGCAAAATGATTGATGATGTATTTATTATCACAGTATCACAGTATGCTAGAGATTGGAAGGGACCTCAAAAGATCATCTAGTCCAATCCCCCTGCCAGAGCAGGAACACCTAGATAAGTTTACACAGGAATGTGTCCAGGCGGGTTTTGAATGTCTCCAGAGAAGGAGACTCCACAACCTCCCTGGGCAGCCTGTTCCAGTGTTCTGTCACCCTCACTGAGAAGAAGTTTCTTCTCAAGTTTAAGTGGAACCTCTTGTGTTCCAGTTTGTACCCATTACCCCTTGTCCTATCATTGTTTGCCACTGAGAAGAGCCTGGCTCCATCCTTGTGACACTCCCCCTTTATATACACTAATAAGGTCACCCCTCAGTCTCCTCTTCTCCAAACTATAGAGACCCAGCTCCCTCAGTCTTTCCTCATAAGGGAGATGCTCCACTCCCTTAATCATCTTAGTTGCCCTGTGCTGGACTCTCTCCAGCAGGTCCCTGTCCTTCTTAAACTGAGGGGCCCAGAACTGGACACAATATTCCAGATGAGGTCTCACCAGGGCAGAGTAGAGGGGAAGGAGGACCTCTCTCGACCTACTAACCACCCCCCTTCTAATACACCCCAGGATGCCATTGGCCTTCTTGGCCACAAGGGCACAGTGTCGGCTCATGGTCATCCTGTCGTCCACCAGGACCCCCAGGTCCCTCTCCCCTACACTGCTCTCTAACAGGTCGTTCCCCAACCTATACTGGAACCTGGGGTTGTTCCTGCCCAGATGCAGGACTCTACACTTTCCCTTGTTATATTTCATCAAGTTATTCCCTGCCCAACTCTCCAGCCTGTCCAGGTCTCGCTGGATGGCAGCACAGCCTTCTGGCGTGTCGGCCACTCCTCCCAGCTTAGTGTCATCAGCAAACTTGCTGATAGTACACTCAATTCCCTCATCTAAATCATTGATGAATATATTAAATAATACTGGTCCCAGTACTGACCCTTGAGGCACTCCACTAGATACAGGCCTCCAACTAGACTCCGCCCCATAGACTACAACTCTCTGGCTTCTCTCCTTCAGCCAGTTCACAGTCCACCTCACTACCTGATCATCCAGACCACACTTCCTCAATTTAGCCGCAAGGATGCTGTGGGAGACTGTGTCAAACGCTTTGCTGAAGTCAAGGTAGACCACATCCACCGCTCTGCCATCATCCATCCACCGTGTTATTTCCTCATAAAAGGCTACGAGATTGGTCAAGCATGACTTCCCCTTGGTGAAGCCATGTTGACTGCCCCTCATAACCCTCTTATCCTTGATATGCCTTAAGATGGCACCAAGGATAAGGTGTTCCATCACTTTCCCAGGAATGGAGGTGAGGCTAACCGGTCTATAGTTACCCGGGTCCTCCTTCTTGCCCTTTTTGAAGACAGGAGTGACATTTGCTTTCCTCCAGTCCTCAGGCACCTCTCCCGTTTCCCAAGACTTGGTAAAGATGATGGAGAGTGGTCTAGCAATGACCTCTGCCAGTTCCCTCAGCACCCGTGGGTGCATCCCATCTGGACCCATGGATTTATGGATGTCCAGATTGCTCAACTGGTCTCTAACCCATTCCTCATTGACTAAGGCAAACCGCTCCATTGACCTGACTTCATCTGAGGTCTCAGGGGTACAGGGCTCTTCAGAACTGCTTCTGTCAGAGTAGACAGAGACAAAGAAGGCATTCACTAACTCTGCCATCTCTGTATCTTCTGTCACCAGGGCACCCATCCCGTTCATCAGTGGGCCTACATTGCCTCTGGTGTTAGTTTTATCTGCCATGTATTTGAAAGAGCTCTTTCTGCTGTCCTTGACCCCTCTCGCCAGATTTAATTCCAAGGAGGCCTTAGTCATCCTAGCTGCCTTCCTACATCCTCTAGCAGCAGCCTTATATTCCTCCCAAGTGGCCAGCCCCTCCTTCCATGACCTGTAAACTCTCCTCTTCCACTTGAGCATACCCAGCAACTCCCTGTTTAGCCACGCAGGTCTCCTGGCCCTCTTTCTTGACTTCCTACGTGTTGGGATGCTCTGATCTTGAGCTTGGAAAAAGCAGTCCTTGAATGCCAACCAACTATCTTGGGCGCCTTCACCTTCAAGCATCCTAGCCCATAAGTTTTCCCCTAGCAATTGCTTGAAAAGGCCAAAGTTTGCCCTGCTAAAGTCCAGGGTTGCAATTCTACTTGCTATTCTACTGGTCCTACCACACATTATACCTGACTAATTTGCAAGAGGCCTTTGTTGCTGTCCCAGGTAATTTTTAAGAAGACAGTATGAATTTAACTGCAATTTATATTCTTCTCCCTGTTGCATATTTATGTGGCTCTTGGCTTCTCCAGTAATATATATAGGCTTTAATATCTGAGGCAACTAGGGATCATTTCAGTCAGTGTAAACAGAACAAAGCTGAGTTGTATTCAGCATTAGTGTAGACTGTCAAGATTAAGTGAAGATGTAACTTTATGCTAGACTGTGTTTGCTTTATATAAGATTTCTGTCCTAAACTCTAGTTGTTTTTCAGGGAAACCCACTTTTATTTCCTTTATAGTGTGGGGTCAGTAGGGGAAGATCTTGAGCAATAAATGCCCCTGTGGGCTGGGTGAGTTGCTGAGTTTGTGTATACAGACATGTTGCAAAGTGGATCCATTGATATATGTGGCACCTGAGCTATGGAGTCTACTGGAATCTTGTTCTAGTGGCAGTTATAGATTGCACAATCTTCTTAATTTGATATACCCTTCTATTCGTATTTGTAGGGTAGTTGACCTTTTAGTTTGCACATTTTGTGGTAAAGCAGTGGTAAAATACAAATAAAGATCATCAAACTCCGTGTTTTATACCAAGGAATTTCACAGTCACGGATGTATCATCAAATGACATGGTCTTCAAATTCTATTAGTTTCACTTGATTTATTATGAATTTCATTGGTTTTAGGGATCACAGATAATTTAAGAAACTAGCTCTTTGTACATCCGTCTTCTCTTTTTGTTATCTTCAGAAATGATTTCTGCAGTTGTAAGTGCGCATCTGTTGCATACCAGCGGCTGGTCTTTCATTTTTAGTGGACTAGTCCATTTCTAAATCCAGACGTCAAGTAAGGATTTTTAAGATGTAAGGTCATGTTTCAAATGCTTATTAAAACATTCCAAATGATACTGAAGTGGCATTCACTATTTTTATGGCATTTGGGATAATCTACTGATTCTAAGGCACACTTTCTGTCAAGTAAGCAATTACATTGTCTGATTAATAAGTGCATGTGCACCATTCATTTTGGTTATAAATTACATATTGACTTGTTCTTATCCATTTCTTGTTAGTAAGAAAGAAATTTTTGGTATGTCTTGTTAGAACTGTCATCTGCAATTTAAAACAAAATTGTTTATGTATTTTGTTTTGTATCAGCTAGGAACCCTGTGTGTTTTTTCTTCAGTAATTGAAATTACAGAAGGCATGTTTTTCCTTAAAAAATTAATTTTTGAAAGTTACCCCTAGGGGTATGCAGCTGGCATTTTTTCACATAAATCCCTAAACGGCCCTGGTTTCTGGGCATGGAAGATTTAGATGCCGAGTCGTCTGTGAGCTAAGATACCAGTTAGTCTAGTCAACATGGTTTAAGCATAGCTGGCAACTAAGTAAGTACCGTGCAGCTGCTCCCTCACTCCCCACCTGCCAGATGAAACCGGGACACTTACAGGCCAGTATCTTCAGTGAAAATTTACACTAAAATTATACCCAATTCCAAAATATGATCTTTTTCTGGTGTCACATTTCCTTAGTGAAGAATTTCTTTCTGTGTACCAGTTGGCAGGCTGCATTCAAAATTTGCATTGTTTTTTTTTTTTTTTTTCAATTTCCTTTTAATCTCTTCTGTGTATTCACTTTTTTTTCTGTGTGTGTATATGGAGTGGTATTAGTCTTTCTTTCCAATCAAAGCCTATGGCATTTATTTAGTAGATTAAATAAAGAAGTTCTGTTTGTGATTGTCTTTAGTGTTTCTCTGACATGTGTTTCGTAAACTTCATCTTCTTCCCCCATTCTTACACTTTTTTTCTCTTCAGTGCAATGAAGTCTTGCTTTGATAGTTTCAGAGGACATACTATTGCAGTCAACATTTTTGAGACGTTTTTTAACAGTAAAGTAATTTCCATGAGCAATGTTTGAATAGCAGATTCTGTGTGTTAAGAGGTCTTGGCACACTCAAGAAAAAGCCTAAATATTTTTGTCCTCATGCTGGGGATCTTAAAGTTTACCTATGCACCACCTTCTTTTTCTTTGCTGGCAGCTCTTGCAGTGGTATTTCCAATTCCACATGCTTTTATATTTTTCTCTACTCTTGTTCTAGTTGGTATTTTTAATAGTATTTGGTTAAATTATTTTTAATTATCAATTGGCAACTTTTAATCAGGTTTTTTGTTACTAATTGGAGGGAAGTGTTGATAGCTTATCATGATAAATTCTACTTTGTATTCTGTAGGTATCAGGATTGCTGTTCAACTTCTGAAGGGACTGTGGTTATGTTAAGTGATAAGCTATATGCTCTGTTAAGGGAATTTCAATATATTTGATAAATGTGATAGATGTATATGACTACTTTTAAACGTAAAGCAAAACATAAGGAAACGGACTTAAAGTATCTCCTCTACACTGTTATAATTTATATGAAATCTCTTAAGTGGAAAAATAGGTAGAAAAGACAAGATTCATATGTAAACTTAAACATCTTAAGTGTTGAAGTTTTCAAAGTTATCAAATGCATTATTGCTCTTGCTGAAGGCTATTTACACACACAGCAGGAAAGGTAAGATTTTGTGATCTTATTTGCACATATTTGGAAGTCTGACTTTACTATATTGGCAGTTTTTGTGTGTGAAGAAAAGTCATTCTTGGAGGCATAAATCGGTAACCAACGGTTACTTTTAAATGTTCAAAGCCCTTACTGTGCTGTTTGATTCTGACCTGCTGTAGGAAATTTTCAAGTTAGGTCTGTGTTCTGTTGTGGATTTGAATGTGAAATTCTCTTGGTTCATTGAAGGAACAAAAAAACCCACATCACTGCAGGGGAGGCAGCACTGTATTAGAAATGTAAACCAAACCCATGGTATCAAAGAATACTGCTGTAAAATTTTTACAGCTGTTCTGAACTGTGGCTGTGAGTGCAATTCTATTTGTATGTCAGAAATATTATGCTGCAAGTAATCAGCGCTTCCCTCCATACAGGTTGCCTTATATACCAGTGCTAGAACTATATGCCGGACATTGCTGCCATTAAGCTAGGTGATTCAGACTTATGCGTTAACTATTGTGCTATGCTATAGCTAGCTCTTAAAGGTGTATTATGTGTTAACAATTGTACTATGCTATAGCTAGCTATTAAAGGTATGTTTAAAAAGGATTACTGTGAGCTGTGTCCTAGCTCCTTAACATTTGGCAGTAGCAGCCCTACTTTTTGCATTTTTGCCAAGTAGTTTTACGGTGAGTGGAAACATTACTTCATTCTTTTCCGTTCTTGCTCCTGGTTTCTACAGTCACTTTGATTCTGTGACTTTGGGAGCATTGTTTTTAATGTAGGTACTTGTAATGCAAAATCCTACAGCTGTTACATTAATGGCAGGGTTTTTTTTTTTTTTTTTTTTTTTTTTTTTTGTTTTTTTTTTTTTTTTTTTTTCTGGCTACAAAATTGCATAATAGCTGAGGTTTGAAGGGACCTTTGGAGATTGGCTTGTCCAACCCCATGTTTAGAGCAGGGTTAGCTAGAGCCAGATGCCCATGGTCTTGTCCAGACAGGTTTTGACTGACTCCTCAGCTGCTCTGGGCAACTTGTCCCAGTGTTTGGCCACCTCACAGTGAAAATGGTTTTTTTCCCATGTTTAAATGGAAATTTCCTGGATTTGAACTTGTGCCTGTTGCCTCCTGTCACTGGGTACCACTGGGACTTGTGCTCCATCTTTAGGCTTGTGCTCCATCTTACTTATTCCTCCCTTCAGGTATTCATATACATTGATCAGATTCCCCCAAGCCTTCTCTTCTCCAGTCTGAACAGCTTATTCTCCTCCTGTATCAGTTGCTCCAATCCTTTACCACCTTTGTGGCCATTTGCTCAACTTGCTGTAGTATGTCCCTGTCCCTCATGTAGTGGGGAACTTGTTGCCAGACTCCAGATGTTTCTCACTGAGTACAGGAAAAGGATCACTTCCCACTACCTGCTTGTGACTTTCTGATTTGGCCAAGAGCCTGCTGACCTTGTATGCAAGGATGCGTTGCTGTCTCACATTCAACTTCTTTAGTCCTTGTGCCCTTATCTTTTCATTGTTTTTTTAGATTTTCAGATTGGGTTTGTGTGTGTGCTAACAGCATGTTACCATGTAATGCATACCAGCTTAAGTTGATATAAAAATTTCTTTGTTTTACCTGTCTCTTAGTTTAAAATTATAGGGAGGCACTCCAGGGCTATTATCTACTTACACCTTGAATAATCTCTGAATAATATATTGGTTAAAGGAAAAGAATGATGAGTAATCTGATCAATTGAGAATGCACTCCTGAAAATGCCAGTGTTTCTTGTTTTTTTCTTTTTTTGGTGTGCTCTGGTTTTGCTGTAGGTTGACACTGTGGCATAGTGTGATTGATGTAATGGTTTTATTAGTTACTTGAAACAATTGCTCTGAGTAGTAAATGAAAAGACATGTTGTGGATACTTCGGTCAGTTGTCCCATGGATAGCAATTGGAGAATAAACTTCTTTATGATGTAATATTTCTTAAACTGTAAATATAAATAATCATAGATGTTGGCCTAAACTGAGATAATGTTCTGTTGTAAAAACAGTTTGTAGAAATGAGTACTCCTGCAAATAGAATTCTCTTAAATGTCATTCAAACGATTTGATGCCTGATATAAACAGACAAATGCATTGTAGTTAAATGCATTTAGACATGTGAGAATTTTGGTATGGGTAAGAAAGGGGAAACCTTGATAAAAGTATTAGTAGCTGTCTTAATTCCTATCAGGAAGAGATATTTGAAGTGTAAAGACTACAGGTTTTTTGGCTTGTAAAATTCTTGTAATGGTCTAATTTCTGTGAATTTTCTCAGTTCTAGGGTGCCTCATGGTGGTTTTGCCCATATAATGGGTGGCAGTGGTTTGCAAAATTTTACAATTGCTGCTGTGCCATATACTGCAAATCTTTTACCAACATCAAGCACATGGTATGTTAATTAGTCATGTTGAAATATCTTAAAAATGGGCCTTTTTCATGCCGGTCACCGTCAAAAGTACCATTCTTTTGCGCATTTTAATTAGACCCCCCCCTCCACAAATTTAGGTGGTTTCTGCAGTATTCACTATCCAATGTGAAAGTGGTGGGTTTTAACCTGGATGATGGATGTTATGTTTGCTCATTGTTTACTACTTTATTTTGCTTAACTAAAGGCAGTGAGATTAATAAGGGAATATTCAAGCTAAATCATTGTATTAAAATTGACTAAAGTAAAAAAAAATAGTAAATTATTTCCTGCAATGTATTTGAACGCTCAGTGGTACGGTAACGCTCAGTGGTACGGTAACGCTCAGTGGTACTGTAACGCTCAGTGGTACTGTAGTGCAGCACAGCTTTGTTTCCTTCCTTAAATGTGACATCAGGGTTTTCAGTCAGAAATCTTTACTGCTGGGTTTCTTGCTGAACTGTGGCATGACCTTTTTCTTTTTTTTCTCTTTTCAGTATCAACATGCTCAAGTTACCTGAATACCCAAGTAAAGAAATCCTTAAGGACAGACTTCTTGTGGCATTGCACTGTGGAAGCTATGGTTACACAATGGCATAATGAAGTCTGGAAAACTCATTTGGCTACTGATGTGCAATTTCAGGTGGAAAAGAAGCTTAGATGCTGCAGCGCATTGGCAGGGCTGGGCCTCAGAATTCTTATAGGATCATCAGCTTTTCCTCCACTATGTGTTGTCAAAAGTAACTTTGATACTTTCAAAACAGACTGCTCAGCATGCTATACTTTCATTAAAAAAAAATTACAGATATGTATGAAAATCAGGTTATGTGCTTTTCATTATTATTTCAGTCTGAATCAGAAAGTTTGTCACAATCTCTTTCCACAATTTGCTTTTAATTTTTCAACTATATGGTTGAATGGCATTTGCGTTTCAGTTCCTTTGCACTCAGATGGCATACTGCTGATGGACAGACTTGTACTTTATGCCTTGTTGCATGTCAAAGTGCCGTTTATTTTTGCAGAGAACACTATAGAAAGTTCAATTGGGATATTGTACAGTAAGACAGAGCTGATGTATTTTCCATTTCTTTGCATAGTAACAAAATTTTATAACTTTTTAGTACTTTAATGTATATAGGATGTAAAGACTAGACTTACCACTGGAAAAAAATAACAAGAAGTTAATATCTAATTTATATTAGAATTTACACTATATTCTACTAAATATTTAAAGTATTTGTGACTTTATAGTCAACTTGCAGTTTAGAATTTGTAAATATTATTTAAAATCTATATTCATTGTTTGAATGTCTTTACTATTTCCTTTACATAATTGTATGTTCAAAAGGTATTATTAAATTTTAATATTTTAGCCTAAATCTGATTGTGACAAGTTTATGTCTTTGTGGATGGTTTATTCTTTTTTCCCCATGGATTTTATTTCTCATACTGTAATTTAAATTGTTATGGAGGCAGCATTTGAGAAGGTATTGTCAAAGTGTATGGGTGGACATAAGCAAATGTACAAGGAAGGAACTTGAGCATATTGAGGTTAATTGACAAGACTATAATAATTAGAATCTCATGTCAGAATTTATATGAAACTAGAATATATTACTCTATGTAAAAATATACAGCAATGGCTCATTGTTTGTTTTTGATAAGTAGCTGCACTTGTTGGGTTAGATGGTGCATTTGCATAATTGCTTTTTTAGGGACCCTATGGTAGGTGTATGTTACTGTTTTGGTTCAGGCTGCAAGTGGGTTTTTAGTTGTGGATGTTTTTTTGTTGAACTTTTGTTTGATTATGTATACTTTCTAATTTGGTCATCCTTCTTGTCTTGCTTTTGCTTCAGAGAATGCAAACTGGATTCTTTCCAGATGAAGCTAAACAGAAAAACATGATCCAAAAATGTACCAAATCCTAATGGATGAACATTAATTATGTCTGCAAGACCTAAGTGATCTGAAGAGTTAGTAAATGAGCCAAGGAATAGGAAACCCTCCAAACATGTAAATTTTAAGGTTCAGGTCCTCAGCTGAACCTGTTTGCTGTGATCCATTCATGTTTTCCTGCACTAAGTGCTAATGCATGTGTAGCCTGAGTTCACCAGCTGATCTGCATATGCTGCTTACTTAGTGCTGTTTTTTCAGATTTTACTGATTTTAATCTAAATCATACATAATCTCTTTGTGAGTGTGAGAGAGAAATCTGTGGACCATCTGATTCAGTGGTATCACAATAATTTCCCTTTGGGCTAAGCTTTAAACATAGACTTGTTAGCTGTTACTTCCTTTCTGGTTCTGTTTGTGCACATGTATGCATAAATGCTGGTTTAAATTCTTATGTGGTGTCTGTGACTGCAATTTAAGGAGAATGCTGGGTTTAGGAGACAGATCAGACTCTTCCAGCAGGGTAATCCAGTGAAAGCTGGTTAGACTGTTGCTTCAGTCAGTGGAGAGATGCTGTTCCTCTCTGACATGCTCTAGGAAGCTTAAGATTATTTAGATAGGTTAGATGTTTGAGTGTCTGTGGGGTTTTAGTGTTAAATCCCAGTTATCTTGGATCCTTCAGTTAGCAAAAGTACTTTGCTTTTCTGCACAGTTGGGCAGTGCTTGGTTCCCTGGCTATGTAGCTTATTTCTTTATGTGCCTTGGCAAGGTAGATTGATAGCAAGGCAGTGTTTTGAGCAATACAGGGTATTTGTTGGGAATTATCTGTTTTGCTTTATGTAAACTGGGGGTTTTGTCTTTATCCCAGGGTTTACTGTAAATACTACTGTTCATTAAATACTATGTGATTTGTGATCTTTTTCATTTTTCATTTCACATGCTCTGTTTCATGGTAATACAGAGCAGTCTGCAGGAAGCTAAAACCTTCCATACTGCCTTGTGCCCAAAACATCAGCCTTACAGTCACGATGTAAGGCTGAATTGAAGGCAAAAAAAATCAGATTTTTATATTTTTCACTTCTGTATTAAATTGTAGGTGACATAAGTATCAACAAGATGAATTTGGTCTCAGTGTTCCTAAAATGCTGGTCAACTGGTTTTGAAATGTAACAAAACAGCCTTTTAATGTTGTCAAGTTTCCTGTGACAGATCTTCATGTGTCCTGGTTTCAGCTAAAACACTGATTTTTCCTCCTTCCTATTAGCAGGTGCAGTGCTGTGTTTTGTCTTTAGACTGAGAACAGTGCTGATAACACACTGATGTTTTAGTTGTTGCTAAGTAGTGCTTACCCTGATCAAGGACTTTTCAGTCTCTCATGCTTTGCCAGTGAGGAGGGGCACAAGTAGCCAGGAGGAAGCACAGACAGGACACCTGACCCAGACTAGCCAAAGGGGTATTCCATACCACAACATGTCATGCCCAGTATATAAACTGGGGGGAGTCACCCAGAAGGCCCAGATCACTGCTTGGGTTCGGCTGGGTATTG